GAAATTGCATTGGGCGGCTTTTTTCTATTAATACGAATATTTTTTTAAATGATAATTGATTTTATTTAATTAATACTATTAAAAATGTTCGAATTATTGGTTGACTACTCAATCAAATGACAGCTACTAGTCTACTGTTTTTATTTTGTATTTTTTAAATATTACTCGTTATTTATTAATTTACTATATTATATATATAAAATATTATTAAATTAATTTTTTAATACCATTAATGTTATTATTATTATTATTATTATTTTAATGAAAATTGTAATTATTCTTTTTTTTAAATACCCTTAAACTCGTAACGATGTTTAGTTTATACGCTCATAAATTATGGTTCATATCATTTTCATTAATTATTTTACATTATTGTCGCTTCTCCCTCTTCTATAAATGAGACCGACAATTTTTTAATCAATTATTTTTTAATTATTCTTCTTTTATTTATATTTTTTTATTATTAAATTTCTTCCCACCAAAACAACAAAAATTATGCTAATCTATTATGGTGTCACATGCAACAATTTTTTATTAAATTTTAATTTGATTAGCAACTATATATTATTTAATTTACAGAAATAAGATAACATATAACAAAATTTTAATATTTTGTTTACTTGACATAATTTTATTTATTGATTTCAAGTATACTCATTAATATGTTGCAGAGTTATTATTTATTAATATTAAATAAATTATTAGAATAAAAAGCTTATTAAAAAATTAATAATAAAATAAATTAAAACATTATTGGCTATTAATTTTTTTTTTCCATTTAAAAAAAATAATAATAATTGATTTCATTTATTACTATTTTCAATACCCAAGTCCAATGGTTCTGTTCCTATTTTCAGAACCAATTCCGAATGGGACCATACTTTATTATTATTATTATTATTATTTAATATAATTTAAATAAAATAAATAAATAAATAAAAAGGTACATAGGAGACAAGAGAGCATTATTGCTTGCTTGCATTTCACTTCTGACTTTGTCCCCACCTCCCTTAAAAGCTTCGTAGATTTGTTCCCTTTATATTCTTTAATTTTTTTATTCTTTAAATAAATAAATAAATTAATTTTATTATTATTATTTTTTATTATTTTTTATTTTGTGGGAACATAAAAATTAAGGTCCACTCACCTTTTCCTTTTTTTCCTACTTTATTTTTTCTTTTTCCTTCTTTTATTTTCCTTTTCTTATCTTGTTATTCACTTTTTAGATTATACAAAGGTAGCTAGGATTTTTTTTTTATTAAGGTTAAATTATTAAAAAAAATACTCAAAATTTGTTTAAAATGTATTATTTTTATTGATTTAAACCATTTTATAAATATTTAAAATAATTTTAATTGAGAAATCCCCATCCAATGGAAGGGTTGTAGTGGAATACAAAGCATGTAATTGTCCTTGTAATTCGCATCCCATGAATGTTAAAGAGGATAACTCACCCGGTATTATTATCGTGGTCTCTAGGATGTAATGTGTGATCAAGTCTCCTTCAGCATCCGAGTAGTCGGGCGTAAAAGCATGGTTCCAACTACCTTATCTGAAGAACGACGTTAATAGAGTCAACGTATCGCTCTCAATCATATGAACGTATTAGAATCTTTTTTTTTATCTAGGGCAAACAAGAAGAACCTCTTTCTCTTAACGTATTGCTGCTCCCAATCCAATTGGAATGACAATAGCTCTCTACTGGAATATCTTGCATGGCAGCTCCGATTAATGTCATCTAACTTCTGAGTCGCAAGTACTTAGTATGCAATAAGAAGTAAAAAGTCAGTTTTTACATATCATTCACATATACTTCCATGTTTTTACTGATCTACGGCTTGCTTTTCACTCTCAAGACAATAGCAATAACGCAACTAATTCTAATTTTCGATCAACATTCTAATGGATTTCTAAGAGGATCACGGGTAATATTCAAACTTTTGAAAGAACAATAACGATTTTTCACTTCAAGGGTATTTTTGTAATTTAACGTTTCTTTTTAGAATAAAGTTCATCTGAATATGTAGTGAGACGAATTTAACTTTAACCTTTCAATGAATGACCTACACTTTTTTTTTACTGTTTAAGTGACTTTATTGTTTTTCTTATTACCAGAAAAAAAAAAAAAAAAAGAACAAAAAGAGCAGCTTTATTAAATAATTACGAAACTTAATTATTAAGGTAGTCGGTAGGTAACCTAATCCTTTTAAATGGTCAAAAATAAGGGTTGGAATATTTAAAACCACCCAACCAAGTCACTTGTTTCCTCTATTTGGGTATTGTTCAAGAATGGAATGAGATTTATAAGAGATGCAAGGCTTGAATATTGGGTTGGTTTGGGTCGAAATCAACCTAACCATACCTTGAATAAACTATATATTAAATTATATATATATTTTTTAATATATAGTTTATTCATATTTATATATTAATATGGTCTATGCTTTTAACTTATCAATTTTAATTAATTAATTGTTAGTTGAATAATTTAATAAGTAACACTGTAAAAAATAATTTACTAGGATTGAATGTAATTTTTTATAAAATAAATAAGGACAATCTAGGTTTATAAATTAGGGAGAATTAAATTATTACATAAAAATAATAAATGAAATTGTTGACCAAAAAACATCGCGATTGATTGAAATCGGAGACGATTAATCGGCGAGTAATTCAGAATAAATGGAAAATACACGGTTCTCAACGTAGCCGAACCGAAGCAATAATGATACGGGGTTAGCGACTTGGAGCCCAACCACAGCACGTGGGGGCCACCCAAATAATTTCCATGTAAAAGAGCACAAAACGACAACTAACACTTCTTGATCCCAACGGCGTCATCCAATAAATGGTGAAGGACAGCGACGTGAAAGCTTCTCAATGTAACGGCGACCTGACGGTTCCCGTTAAAACGGGGTCCGTGTGAGTTGGACACCCTCAAAGACCGAGTCATTTTCTGCCACGTATACACTCTCTCTCTTCTCGCTCAAACAAGGCGGCCAATCGCTTTCTGTCTTCACGCGTCATTTTGGGAGGGGTCGGTGAGATTAAGATTAGACCAACGCTCTTTTTTTTTTTCTTTCCATCTTCCACGAAACGACACCGTCTCGCTTATCCTCAATCTCTCTTTCGCTATATATCTCACCTCGAGCGACCCGAAGACCAAACAAAGCCTTAGCAGAGCAGAAATACATAGAGGGAATCCGGGAGGGAAAAAAGAGTTGAAAAGACTACAATACCCTTCTTCTTCTTCTTCTTCTCCTTCTTGTTCTAGTCTCCCGTCTGGTTGTTTGGTACCGTGTGAGGAAGGAGAGACGAGGGTTAAAGCTCTTGGTTTCAGAGGAAGGAACTCACCAGTCCTGTAGCGTTTGTTCTTTGGTTATTTAATCTTTTTTTCGTTTGTTTTTGGGAGATTTATTAGGGATTTTTACTTCTTCATCCATGGGGACTGAGATCCTACGGCCTCAGGATTGTTTGATCGAAAGGATCAGAGTTCCACCAGCACCGTTTTGTCGCCGGAGGAGTTCTTATGGAAACTATGATTCGAATGTTTGCAATTATAATCCTAGATCTAACAGGAAGACGGCGGCTCGGTCGGAACGGCCGGAGCAGCGGAAGCGGTTTGTTTCGAATCATTCGGAGCCGTCGGTCTCGAAGAGATCGAGTTCCGACGATTTGAAGGCGATGAAGAATAGTTTGGTGATGGAGAAGGTTACAATCTTGAGGCGAGGTGAATCGCTCGATTCGAAGATCAAGAGCGAAGCTCTTAAGAAGGAAGGTGATAATCTGGTCGTGTGTGGGACCGAGAGGCTGGGACCGGCGCCGGAAATGATACCGAAACAGATACGGATTGTTGATGTTAGGTGTCCGATAGCCGGTAAAGCCGACGTGTACGCCGGATCGGCTTTTTCTATGTCGCCGTGTCCTAGTTCTCTTCCATTACCGTCGTTCTCGAAGAAGAAACATGTATCCACCATCGTTGACGACTCGGCTACCAGAGATCTGAGGCGTTTGCTTCGGCTCGACGCATGAGATCTTCTCCAGATCTTGAATTTGGATCTTAAATCCATCTCGAAAATCATCTCTCGTCCATTTCTCATCTCTCATCTTTCTAATGTCTCTTTCGATTTGTCCAGATCTGAACTGCCGTGATTTTTTTAAACGGTGGTAGATCGGAAAATCGAGCCAAGGAGACAGGTAAATCAGATTAAAAGAAGTATATCATATAATATCGTGTATTTATGATGATCCAGGTTTGTTTAACGTGGAAGAAATTCTGTGTATTGTAAGTTTAGCTAAAGTCTAGGCCGGAAGAACAGTAATTTGGGTGGGTATGGGTTTGATTTCTGCAAATATTGGGAGAAAAGTAGTTTGCGCTTTGAACGATTAATTTTCTGCTCTGTTGTGAATTTCTTTTGAGTCTCGAGGGCTTTGTTAGTTATTTTTGTTCTTCTTTCTTCTGTTTGATATTACGAAGCTGAATATAATAAGAATACAAATCTGATGAAGATTTTGTATTTCTGGTAGCCATACCCATGTTCTTGCAGTTCTTCAGCATCTGAATGTTCCCTCTCTCTTCCTTTCTCTTTAATTTCTTTTTACATGGCTGGGATTTCCGCCATTAAAGAACACCTTGTATGATTTCCTATTAGCCTAATTGAAATTCAGGTTCCGTACATAGATTAAACAGATGAATCTTGATTTACTTTCCTTGAAATTATGATCATCGTTCATGTCTGAATCATCCTTACCCCATGATTTTTGTGGATGGAGTAAATTGTAAATTAAGTTCTTTCCAAAAAAAAAAAAAAAAAAAAAAAAAAAAAAAAAAAAAAAAAAAAA